ACAACTGTTCAGGCAGTTTGGTCTGTATCACCTACTTGTTTACCTTTATCATTTACCATCTGTGTTTCTAATCCTCAATTATATATTGTACAGTTTTGCAGGTTTTGGAATTTATAGAAATAGCATACTCTGTGTATTCTTCTTTGATTTCCTTTTTTTATCTCAACGTTGTGTTTCTGAGATTTGTCCAATTTGTAGCATGTAGCTAAAATTTATTAACTTTCATTACACTGTATATTCTTTTTTCTTTTTACTATGCTTTTTCCTTTTTTCTAGTTTTATTGAGGTATAATTGACAAAATTATATATAAAGTTTACAATGTGATGATCTACTATATGTACGCATTGTGAAACGATGACTACAGTCAAGTTAATTAACATGTCCATCACCTCACAGTTACCTTTTATGTATGTGTGTGTGGTGAGAGCACCTAAGATTAACTCTCTTAGCAAATTTCAAGTACATTATCCATATTACTAACTATAATCACCATGCTGCACCTCAGATCCTCAGAATTTATTCGTCTTATAACTGAAAGTTTGTACCGTTTAACCAATGACTTCCTATTTCCCCATCCCCTAGAAACCACCATTCTATTCACCATTTCTATGAGTTTTACTTTTTTTTTTAATTCCACGTATAAATTATACTATATGATAATTGTCTTTCTATGTCTAGCTTATTTCACTTAGCATAATGCCCTCAAGGTCCATCCATGTTGTCGCAAATGGCAGGATTTCTTTCTTCTTTGTGGCTCAATAATAATCCATTGAATACATATATACCACATCTCTTTATCCATTTACCTGTCAGTGGACACTTAGGTTGTTTGCATGTCTGGGCTTCTGTGAATAATGCTGCAATGAACAAGGGGGTGCAGATATCTCTTTGAGGTACTGATTTTAGTTCCTTTGGATATACCCAGGATTGGGATTGCTGGATCATATGGTAGTTCAATTTTTAATATTTTGGGGAACTGCCATACTGTTTTCCATAATGACTGTACCAATTTACATTCCCACCAAAAGTGTACAAGAGTTCCCTTTTCTCCACATCCTCAGCAACACTTATTATTTCTTGTGTTTTTGATGATTACCATTTGGACATGTGTGAGGTGTTATCTCATTGTGGCTTTGATTTGCGTAACCCTGGTGATTATTGATGTTGAGCATCTTTTCATGTACCTATTGGCCATCTGTATGTCTTGTTTGGAAAAATGTCTATTCAGATCATTTGTCCATTTTTTAATCCAATTTTTTTTTTTTTTGCTATCGAGTTGCATGAGTTCTTTATATATTTTGGATATTAACCCCTTATCAGATATATGAATTGCAAATACTTTCTCCCATTCAAGTAAGTTGCCTTTTCATTTTGTTGATGGTTTTCTTTGCCAAGTCTCATGTCAGGGAGCTTACCACCTATGTTTTCTTCAAGTTTTGTGGTTACAGGTCTTACATGCAAGTCTTTAATCCATTTTGAGCTAATTTTTGTATATTGTGTAAGATAGTGGTCCAGTTTCATTATTTTGTATGTGGCTGTCCAGTTTTCCCAACACCACTTATTGAAGAAACTGTCCTTTCCATTTTGTATATTCTTGGCATCTTTGTCATAAATTAATTGACCATATGTATGTGGATTTATTTCTGGGTTCTTTATTCTGTTTCATTGACCTAGGTGTCTGCTTTTATGCCAATACCATATTGTTTTGATTACTATGGTTTGCAGTATAGTTTGAAATCAGGCAACTTGATGCATCTAGTTTTGTTCTTCATTTTCAAGATTGCTTTGGTGATTCAATTTGTGGTTCCATACAAATTTTAGGATTGTTTGTTTTATTTCTGTGAAAAAAAGCCATTGGAATTTTGATAGAGATTGCATTGAATCTGTAGATTGCTTTGGGTTCTATGGAAATTTTAAAAATATTCTTCCAATCCACGAGCATGGAATATCTTTCTATTCATTTGTGTCATCTTCAATTTCTTTCATCAATATCTTGTAGTTTTCAGTGTGCAAGTCTTTTATCTTCTTGATTAAATATATTCCAATGTATTTTATTCTTTTGGATGCAGTTGTAAATGGAATTGCTTTTTTAGTTTCTCTTTCTGATAGTTTCTTATTAGTGTATAGAAATGAAACAGATTTTTGTATATTGACTTTGTATCCTGCAACTTTCCTGAATTTGTTTATTCTAACAGTTTTTTTGGTGGAGTCTTTAGAGTTTTCTAGGTATAATATCATGTAACCTGTAAATAGTGACTTTTACTTCTTCCTTTCCTATTTGGATGCCTTTGTTTCTTTTTCTTGCCTAATTGCTCTGGCTAGGATTTCCAATACTATGTTGAATAAAAGTGGGGAGAGTGGGCATCTTTGTCTTGTTACTGATCTTAGAGGAAAAGCTTTCAGCTTTTCACTATTGAATATGATGTTAGTTGTTGGCCTGTCATATATGGCCTTTACTATGTTGAGGTACGTTCCCTCTATACCCACTTTTTTGAGACTTTATATCAAAAGGGTGTTGAATTTTGTCAAATGCTTTTTCTGCATCTATTGAGATGATCATTGATTTTTATCTTTTATTATATTAACGAGGTGTATCACATTAATGGATTTGCAGATGTTGAACCGTCCTTGCATCTCTGAAAAAAATCCCTCCTGATCGTGGCCTATGGCTCTTTTAATGTATTGTTGAATTTAGTTTGCTAAAGTTTGTTAAGGACGTTTACATCTATGTTCATCAGGGATATTGACCTGTAATTTTTTTTTCTTTTGGTATCCTTGTCTGGTTTTGGTATCAGGGTGATGCTTGCCTCGTAAAATGAGTTTGGATGAGTTCCCTTCTTTCTATTTTTGGAAGAGTTTGAGGAGGATTGTTAATAATTCCACTTTAAATGTTTGGTAGAATTCACCAGTGAAGCCATTTAGTCCTGGACTTTTGTTTGTTGAAAGGTTTTAGATCGATTTAATCTCTTTACTTGTAATCTAGTAAAGATTACTCTAGTAATCTGTAATCTAGTGTTCAGATTTTCTATTTCTTCATAATTCAGTCTTGGTAGGTTGTATGTTTCTATTTAATATTCTATTATAATTCTAATAATAATTTCTCTATTTCTTATAGGTTGTCAAATTTGTTGCCATATAATTCTTCATTCCAGTGAATTGAGCTGATTTCTTAACTCTTTTGCCTCATTACACTCATCTGAAAAATAGAAATTATTGTTTTTATTTCTATTCTACTTATAATTGTTGTGAGTACTGAAAGAGGTAATTTATTTAAATTCCCACCATCTACTGCCTACATCTAGGACTCTTTCCATAAATGCTAGTCACTTTTTATGATGTATTCTTATAAATATTTTCTTGAATTATTCTTGAATATTAAGAATTAATGTCAATTCTTCTTATAAGGGTCCTGTCATAAAGAAATTCGTGTTCAAGAACATGTTCTCAGATATCGATTATTCTTACAATGGAAGGGAATGAGACACAAATTATTTAAACTTTACTTCAGTTTAGCTGGCTTTGTTTATCTCTCCACAATAACTGTTTGCTGTTCTCCCTTACTGATTTATTTGTTCATCTTAATATTTTTATTCTAATATATAATAAAATTAAATAAAATATAAGGATTATTAAAAGATTATGATGCTATTAAAATATATAGTGCTATAGAATTATTTGTTCATATTGCTTCTGTCATCAAATAATCCATCATGCATCTCCTCTGTCATTAGACTCCTGGATGAGATTTACCACTCATGAGTGGACTCAGTCATTCTCAGACTCTGTTCCCAGGAATCTTCTCACCAAAGGAGACATTACCAGACTGTTTGAAATAAACCCTGAACCACAGATCTGAAACTCTGGTTGTATATTTTCTTTGCCACATCTTACAGTAAGTGAATTAAATACAGGAATATTCAGCATTGTGTATATGATTCTTCATACAAAATAAATATAATAAATACATAGTTAAAATAGTTTAATGTACCATTACTTTGAAATGTTTAGGATTTGTTTAAATTTAGGACCATTTTAAATGTGATTTGTCTCTTGAGTATTCTTTATTTTCCATAGCAAAAAGTTTTCCTGTATGATCTGGTAAGTATAAATTCAAGGTAACTGTCACTATAGGTATCTTCATTAAGATTACTGAAATCTCCCAGATACGTAGTCTTATTATCTCTATGAATGTCATTCTGTTAAGATAAGTATCCATCAATCTTTTGTGTCTCTATTATAATTTGCTGAGACTATGAATTGTAAAGGCAGTCTAATTCACATTTTTATTAGATAGTATTCCACAGTATTCTAATTTTATTTTGGTTACATTTAGTAGGCTTTTTAACAGTGGTTTGGCATGTTTTTATTTACTACCTTCTATATCTATTAATTTACTCAAACTCTTATTGAATGTCAATCATATCTTAAGTTTTGTTACCTACTTGAAATATATCTGTATGTAGGGGAGACATAACCTTCGCTTATAATAGGTAAACTAGAGGGAGGCCAATATTAGGTTGTGAGTTTTACAAAGAAAAGTACAAGGTGTTCTGAGTACACACAACAAGGTGACCTCATTTGTTCCAGAGCTTAAAAATAATTCCATGTAGAAGAGATTTTAAAACTGAGACTTGATGCAGAAACTTAATTTAGCAGATACAGAACAGGGAGAAGAGAATTCCAAGTCTTTAAGAAGAAACCTGTGCTCTTGCATTAACCCAATAAGCTGAGTAAACACACCCAGCTATCCTTTCACCTCCAGCCACCTTAGAAATCAAGTGAAAAGACAAGACACAGAAGAAAGATTGCACAGTATTCTGATATTATTTCTATTTAAAGAAAACAAATTCATACACTTAACATTATCAGCCCTTTTGAAAATAGTCAATATGTTTTATAAAGGAAGAAGAAGTTAAACAAAATCAAGTAGGCACTAACTTAGCTATCGTGGGTGTTGGCAATCCTGACAAATGTGGTCAGGTTTCTGCCCTGTCCCTCATTATGGGAGTCCACAGCAAAGAAAAGGCTTGAGAAGGGAAGAGAAGGAGCACGAGAGGAAACTACAAATGAGGGAACTATCGGCCACATTAACAAAGCTCACTGTACCACATTCGTAATCCAGGAACACCCCCACGCAGCCTACAGGCCTTTCTACGTACTGAGGCAACACTGGGGAAGAGGTAAAGAGACTGCACCCATTGTCGTCTTTGACACAAAAAAGTAGAAAGATTCCCTCTGAGTCAAGGACCATGTCATTCCTCATTGTCCAAGAATCATTACAAAATCCAATGACCCAGTTCGAACAGTCCCCCACATACACCTCCCAGTAATGTTGGCCAGAAGTGAATGACTGGGCTCCCCAGGCAAGAAAATATTTAGATCTTGCTGAATTATTGGCAACTTCAAGATGATCAGTACCAAAGAGAAAACGTTTCAGATCTTCAAACAGTGGGATGTGACCAGTGACTACTTCATTATCCAAGGAAACATACACTGCAGGAAGACGGAAACAGACACCTTAACAAATGGTGTTATAAACTCCTGATGGACATGGGCTTTACCTAGCGTCTTGGTTTCCTAGCTTATCACTGGAAATGGGCCAGGACAGTGAGAGAGATTTAGAAATCTACTGTAGCCCAAGGTCTGTAGGTCTGGCTTCATAACAGGAAAGTCTTTAACTAGACATAATGAGAGAAATTATTGAATTTTCTGGAAATATACAAAGAAGAGAGAGATTGCTAAGCTTTCTCTGTTATTTTCTCTGAAACATTTGAAATTAGGAGCTCACTAATAATTCACAGTCAGTTACAAAAGTAGCCTGCCCATCTCCTCAGAAAATATACAATAATACTAATTAATAAGAGAATAATAATAAATATTATTATTACTCCTAAAGAGTGATCACTTTGCCTCAGATTTAAGGATTTTTCACTAAAGCATGCATCTAAAATAAAAAGAAAGAAAAAAATCATATTTTTTTAAGAAGTGGTTTCTTTGTGAGAATTTTCTTTTGAGAAGAAAAAGCACAAATCTAGTGAAATAATACATTTTCAGCTTACTTTGTGGATGTTGTGTATAAGCATTCATTTCACGTATTTAATACATTGATTATACCAAATATATTTATATTAATATGAATAAACTATGCTCTTTATAAAGTGCATTTATTACAAAAAGTTTTAAAAACAAAAGTTAAAACTCTCTATCTCATTACCAACGATAAACACAATTACCTAAAACATGGAATGTACATGCAGATTTACATGTTTCACATGAACGGGTAACACTATGCTTCAGCATGCCACAGGCCATCAAATATCTTGTCTTACTGTTTATTTCCAGATAGGTTATTACAATCTATGATATTTGGCTTTTCTCTATATATCAGTTAGTTTTTTCCCACATATATTACTTTTCTATAAAGGCAGAATTGGCAATAAAAGTTCCCAGAAAAGAAACCATAGATTGAGCACAGCGGAAAGATTACTAACAGAAGGGAACGTGCAGCTGTATCACCAAAAGGCTGCCTGTTACCTTGGAATCGGTTGAGCCTGCCTATCAGCCCAGTGATGGGCCATGAACTGAGCTGTGGATCCACAGGTTGGGTCACGTGCAGCTGCACCGACTCACTCCTGCAAAGAAGGACACTTAGTTATTCTTGCTGAGATCAAAGATTTCATCACAATGACTATATCTACTTCCTAAGGAAGACACTTCTTTAAAATCCTCATAATTAGGATCAGGGGTTATGAATGTAACTCCACGAACTAGGGAATGAAGCAACTATTGATTAATTTTGTGAATTAATTAAACTAAATCCAATCCCACCTCCTAACACTTCAATCCTAGCACACAATTCAAAGCAATCATGACTGTATCTGGTTCCTCTCAGCCAATCAGAGAGCTATGCACAATGGCCCCAAATTGAGGACAGTCAGGAAGGGCACTTTGATTTTTAATCCACACCAGTCACCACTGAAATGCTCAGTGTCTATCTAACCACAGCTACAGGGTGAGGAGCTCAGCTTGGGCAGGGATTCTGCTTCCGAGGACCCAGCTTCACTTAGTGCATCAAACAGACTTTCCATTTGAAGCTGGAGGCTGCCATGTGCTACACATGGAAGCCCCAAACCCTTGATGATCCTCCCTATGCCTGTTCTCTCCCTGCTCCCACTGTAAACTTCTCTGAAATACTTAATCTCCCATAATCTTGTCATGACTTTGGGGCATATCCTTAATGTGTTTTTACATTTCTAAAAATTAAAGTCAGGAATGGTAGCTGTCTTCATGCAACTTTTGCCCAGAACCCTGCAAATAGTATGTCTGCCCAACTTCGTCTTAAACAAAACAGCAAAACCTTTCGAGAAAGGAAAAAAATATATTATGAAAGAGGTTATATTATCATACTAAATTACGCTCCCATTTCAGCATCAACAGTCTGATCACTGTTACAATTCTCAAACCTTTAATATAGGGGCAAACTTACCTTTTCAACGTGTTTTCAAAATGCTGTAAAGAGAAAAACAGACAAGATAAAGACTTAGTATACGTCACAAGATGCATAGTGGAGACTTAATTCTTATTCCCAAGCGTGGGAGAACCCAAGTTTCAGCAAATCGTATCATGTACATGGAAACAGAAAGGGAAAACGAATCGTAGATTGCCACATTTCTCCCAAATTCCCAAATTGTTGCCAGGTCCAGATACATATCCATATATCTTCAGAGAAGCTTCTCTGTTGCAGTAGTTCAGTAGTTGAATGTGTATTTGGAGAATTGTAGAAGAAATTATTCTCTAGGACTTTTTTTTACCTACTCTTTCACAAACCTTTGTTGTTCTTGTGTATGGCAAGAATGACCCTTGGTCGTTAGCATTACCCAGACATGTCAAACCCTTATCACAGCATCAGAAAGCCTCATTCCAAACATGTGATGGAAGACAAAGAGAACCTGGGCAGTATCAAGCAGCACCGCGACTCTCACTCCTCAGTCCTTACCTGGAGCAGCTCCATGTCTGGTTTATGGCACATGTCCTTGAGCTCCTCATACATTCCTCTTAGGAGTTTCCCCTTTAGGTCCATGCTGTCTTCACTTTGCTTGAGTTGTTGCAAAATCTCTTTGCTTTCCTTTTCTATTCTCTCCAAATGACGTTTCTCCTCCTTGTAGAGCAATGGACACACCTTCTGATATTCAGCACGGATCATCTTCCTCCGTAGAGTCACATAACCCTGAAGTGACAATGGATTAATTAGATCATATATTCAGGCTGATTTTATCCATGTCTCATTATCTACCGTTTGTCTTCTGACATTTAGCAATTTGGTACATTTATTGAAAACAGAAATTTAGGGACTCCTTTCTTTTTTCTTTTTTTTTCCCCACTCATTTGTTTGTTTATTTGATTGCACTAGAAGCCAAAATCTTGACTCAAATAACTACTTTCCCTCAAATATCCACATTTTCTTAAAAACGGGTACTTGTGATTTAATGATTGTCTTATATAGTACTACTCAATCCATTTGGTCTCTTTTATCCTCAGATACTTTACCTACAGACTGACTCTTTTTTTTCAGGAAATAATAGGAAATATCATTTCGTGGAAGAAGATAAGACATTTCTAAAATTTTTACTTCCAGGGCAGTAAACTGCACGCAAACCAGACCTTGTGTGTGTGAGTGTGGCTTGACGCTTCCTGTCCAAGACTATGCACTCCACGCCTTAGCTGACTTCTGCACTATTTTTAGAGAAGTTGGTGAATAGACAGCCACCTCCCAGTAGTAATTCCCTGCTCTGCACTCTTTTTTCATTTCCTCTTTCCCTTCTTTTCTCTCAACTTTTAAACATGGGTTATTTTCTCACATTGTATTGAAAACAAAATAAAATATCCACTATTGATCCAATGTCTTTATTTGGCTTTTGTGCTGTCGTTTTTACCTCCAACAAAGCAGATTTCTTGATCCCAGGTGTACATTCACTGTACTCACTTATGAAACTCTCAATCTTTCTTCAAATCAATGAAATCTCTCTTCCATTCCCAACATGTTAATGAAACCACACTCTTCATTTCACCAAGAACCTCCTTTGCTAAAGCCACATATTTTTTATATGCATGTTACTAAGAAGTTCTTCGTATTTCACCAACTCTCCTTTCTATAAAACCCACATACCACGGGCTCCAAACAAATCTCTCTCTCTTAGTTTTCCCTCCATCAATTTACGTTCACCAGCTCCTGTCTTCCAAGTGGACCCATTAATACAGGGACTCCTCAAGTTATCTTTCCATGTGAAAACTTGATTCTTTTCTTTCTAAAAACTCTCATGCGGTATCCGTCTATTACAATGCCTAGACTATGCTGACAACTGTGAAATGGCCCTGTCCAGGCCAAATCATCCACAAAAGTCCAACCTCATTCATCCAATTTCCTACTGTGTATTTCTGCTAGGATATCTCACAGGAACTTAAAGTGCGGCATTTCTCAAACTAAATTTATCTTAACGCAAACCAACTATACCTCCTCTGTTTCTAACCTTAGTGATGCTCCAATTTGAAAGCAGAACCCATATCACTTTTTTATTTTACCTTTGTAATATTCCACATCAAACAAATCACATTTTCTACCATAAGGAATATCCCTTGAGTCCTTTCACTTCCTGTTATCTGTGATAATCCACTCCTCATCTTTCCTTTAAAGATTCCTCACTTATTTCCTACTTGCTTTCTTGACTTTCATTTTGAAGTCTTCCACTCAATGATCTCTCTAAACTACAATCTGAATAAACTTTCCAAAAAAGTATTGTGATCATATTTCTTCTTTGCTTAAGCTCCTTTAGAGGTTTCCATTTGTATTCAATATAGTTCAACTACTTAGCATATATTAGATGAACCTTCAGTAAAAACACAACAAATTACCTGTCCCCTTACTCTACTCTCCACTCAGATGTTTCTCTTCATTACACCAGTCATAGGAAATGTCAGTGCCCAATAAAGTTCTGGTTCATCTTACATGCAGGTCCAGCACTTAACATGCTTCACTCAAGCCTACTTCTCATAAATGTCACACTCAACTTTTAGGTCTGACTTCAAATTTCTCTACTCTCACTCATTCTGCTTCATATCAGGAGCTTCACAATGGAGAACAAAAGGCAAGTGCGGTATGGGAAAATAATAAGTTTAGTTTGAGATGTATTAAGTTATCTCTTCCTGAAAAACTATTTCCCCAAACAGCCATGTGCCTCAATTTCTGACCTCAGGCAGGTACCTGCCCAAATGTGATCTTCCATAGTAAGGCTTTTCTGATCACCATATGTAAAATTTAATTTTGTCAAAGCTACTTTATTTATTTACCTTTCCCGTTGTATTTTTCTCAAAAGCAACTATCACAATGGATCATACTATAAATTTTATATTTTGACTGTTAATTGTCTCCCGCCACTACATCACAAGCTCCTTGAATGCAAGAAAATCTGTTCCTTTTGTCTACTTCTATATTGGCTTAGAAGAAAATTAGTAAGACACAGTAGGCACTGGATATTTCAAAGAAAAAATATTAAGTTATATCTTTAAGGATACCACTTTTAAATAATCAAGAGAATTTTGTTATAGCTCCTTGTCATTCACACAGCCCCATTTTGATTCCTTTATTAATGGTGAGAAGTATCTTTAATATTGTTTGTTTATATATTTCCATCAGAAAATTTTACTTCTCTAATGAGCATATAGATGTACTTTTATTTCACCTCCCCTATTAATGGTGTTCACCCATATTTTTGAATCAACAAAGGATAGATTCAGATTCCTCAGCCGTGTATTTAGGTCACATTTTGAACCAACCTGTGCTACACTTCCAGTTGCATCTCTCGGCGCTGTCCCTCATATAATACGTGAGTTAGCCAATATGAGTTTTGTAAAATCCCAACTTCCCCATGATTCCTCTAGTTTCTAGTCTTCAGTTCTCACTTATTTACCTACTGGATATCCCCTTGAATATCCAATTTCAAGTTGTCCTTTACCATGCAAATAATCAGTGAATATCTTCCTGAATATTCAAAGATTTTATTTTCTTTTGAGAAACCCTGTGTTTATCTCATCCACTAATTATTATATCCCGTGATGACAGTGATTTTTCTCTACATTTTGGTGTGTTGCAGTGTTCTTCAGGAAATAAAGCCTTTTAGTTGAATATTATGATTTCAGTCTATATCCTAACAAAGGGACAGACTTTTCTGTACATGATTAGATGGACCTCTTTTTGCTATCGGTTAGTCACTCACAGAAGACCATAAACATTATGATTTTAGCTCAAGTTCCTATTGTACAATCACTACGTGTCCCAAGATTGTGCTGAAAGAAACAGAATCCCTTGCTCACCTCCCATGTTCTGATTTTGCTGGTTTCTCTGTTGAGATTTCTCTGATTTTCTTGTATCTTTTCCCACACAGACCTCATTTGCTTCAGGAGATTTTGCTGCAAAAGCACCATAAATACGAGCATCAGAGAAGCTGATATTAAAAATATCAGATCCTAACAGATGTAGCGGGGGGGAATGTAAGATAAATAATCACTAAAGAGGGCAAAGAGCCAATGCATTTTCATTGTTAAGCTCAATTGTCAAATAGGGGAGACTTTTTTAACCATAGAATAAACCTATAGTTGTAAAGCGGGTTTAACCATGAAGGAAACTGGCCCTCAAGCTTTGTCACCTAACCAATTTTCATTAAGTGAACCCTGTCTCAGATTTTAGTTGTTGTGATGCTACTTCTTATCTCCTACTATCCTATATTTTAGCTAAAAGACAATGTTTCTAAATAGATTCCATTAGATTAGTGTTTTCGTAATCATGGTTATAGTGGGCAATAATCATCACTGAAATTAACAGATTTGTCCACCTTGGTCTTACACTGAATTATCACAATTTCAACCATGATCAACATCGTCATGACCATCAACTCGCGTTGTAAGATTTTAAACCGTAAATATGTAAGTGCTGTAAGATTGAGAACGTTCTTTCTTCAAAAGTTTATTGTAGTGCTTGGCTCAAAACACTAGTCAATATCTGCTTTATATGTCACATGCAGGAATAATATTTATATTCACTTTCTTTTTCATAATCTCTCAGATAGCGGATCCCCCAGGTTCAAACTTCTCTCACAGCCATCGCTTACCCGGTATTCCTCAGCGATCCAGTCAACAGAACAATGTCTGTGAGCCACGTGCTCCTCAGCCTTACAGCAGAGCAAACAGAGTGCATCCTTGATAACCTCACAGAAAAAGTTCTTTGTTTTCAGGTGTATCTCACACATCTGTTCTGCAGTGCGTGGGAATTGGTAGGGTCTTGCCCGTCTGGCAAGGAAGACCCGTGTCTTCAAGACAATGTTGGTTTTAAAGGTCGTTTGATGTGATGTTTCCCTGCACACAGGGCAGCGAGGAGGACGTGGGGCTTGCTCCCAGCAGACACAGAGACAAGGCATACAAAAGCTGTGCCCACAGCCTATGGTGACTGGGTCTATGAAATAATTCATGCACACGGAGCAGGTCAACTCATTCTGGAAGATGTTGGAAGCCATGTTGCTAAGGAGAGAAAAGAAAAGAAAGAGAAAATTATTTTGTCATGGGCCTTCAAAGAAGTGCACTTTCAAAACCATTAAAAATACTAAGGAGCATGAGAATTATTCCTGTTTGTACAAATACACTAGTGTGTATGGCAGGACAGACTATGCATTGCTTATCACAGACAGAGGATGCTGAGGAACAGAGAGTCCTCATACGCCAGCATATTGATTTGTCAAATATAGCCTTCCCATCAGGGTTCCAGCTCCCTAGTACAATTCCAATTTGTTCATTTATGCCCTCTGTTCTAAATGGACTTAGGAATCAGTAGTTCAGATCCAATGCCCTGCCACAGAGTGTGGGTCATATCTCACCTAAAGCCATCATCCTTATCCCTTTGCCAGTGATTGGTTATATGGCCCTTTGACCCTATTTGGCCAATGAGGTTTAAGGAAATATTATTAGGAGGATCTTTAAAAGGTTTATTTGCTCCTGAAAAGAAACATAAGGAAGAGTCAACTGTTTTATGCTCCTCTGGACAGTGTTTGAACCTGATGCATGAAAGTGTCATTTTTTTTTTTTTTTTTTTGGTGAGGAAGATCAGCCCTGAGCTAACATCTGTTGCCAATCCTCCTCTTTTTTTTGCTGAGGAAGATTGGCCTTGGACTAACATCGGTGCCCATTTTCCTTTACTTTATATGGGACACTGCCACAGCATGGCTTGCTGAGCAGTGCTTATGTCCACGCCCAGGATCTGAACTTGTGAACCGAGGGCTGCTGAAGCCTAGTGGGCGAACTTAAACACTACGCCTATCGGGCTGGCCCCAAGGTTATCATTTTGTCACCACAATGTGCACTTGCCTAGAGAACAAGGAGACACCCTGAGGATGACAGAGAAATGAAAGACCTGGGTCTTTGATGACATCAACAAGGCATTAACCAACTCTGCGACTGACAATCAATAAATGTAAGAGGAACTGAGAAAACAGAAAAATCACATTACCATCATCATAATTAGTAATATATTCAGGCAAGAATCGTCAGTGGATGTGAAAACCACTTGGTAAAACAGTATCAGCCCAAAGATTACTTGTTAATAAGTTCTTCACTTTATTATCATCAAGTAACATGTTAAATTATGTATTTAATTAAAAAATATGTACTTTCAGTAACCATAGATCATGACTAAATATTTTGTATAATTATATGGCTGCTGTTATCTTCCCTGTCTATGAGAACTTGAACGAGAGGGGTTGAATATTTTCAAGGCTGAAAACTTATTTTTGGTCCAAAATACATCAAGTCAACAATTGCTTTATTGAATAATTGTAAAATCAGCTTCAAGGTACCTCTTTGAAAAATAGGTAGCAATGAGGTGATGATGCCTACAGATATATTTATAAATAAAAGTTCGTGAGGGGGATTTATGGACTTCCAATGATGACCACAAAATTTCCAATGATATAGAACATAAAGCCATTCACTCAAACATGCCTAGAATGAGGAGATAGCCTGAGGTACAGGGAGAAAGGTTAGATTAGCCCCATGTAGAACGGGTTAGAAACTGGCCATGAATTCATTATGAATATAATCATTTCTAGATTGATAACATTAATGATGATAATATTAAAATGATAATAGGAGAAACTAATATGTACCCTTTATGAATTCTAGGCATTGGATTAACTCCTCTTATCTGGATTACCTACTTTAGTCTCCTGAAAAATATGATTAACTCATTTTCTATTTTTACCAAAACTTTCTGATGAGGAAACTTGACATAGTTTGAGTAAAATAAGTTACTTGTCTAAAAATCACACATTGAATAAATGATTGATTCAGTACTCAAATATAGATCTTACTGATAGAAAAAAAAATAAACTAAGCTTTAGTGTCCAAGATTACATTAAATCAAGCCAATTTACTGATCTCTAAACAGTAATCTATCATAAGATGTCACGGTAAATAAGACAACATTCTGGTACTCATTCGCTCAGAGTTTGACAGAACATATAAAAAAAAGGAAATTGTTATAATGGAGAAATATGTAACGTGCTGTGGACCCAGAGAAGAGAGAACCACCTAATGTTTACCTTTGGTTACATTTGGTTAGCCATGCTAGACATACAGGCACTCAATTCATATAATGAAATTTACTCGTCTTGGTGGCCTGGCATATTTCATTAAGAACATCCTCTCCTCACATTCTACCTTATTTTTAATAGAGAAAGTTGATTAAATTTAAACTAAATGTTGTATAGTTTGTTCAGGTCTTACCTACTACCTTCATTTTGAAAATTTCAAAGCAGTTGAACTTATCTCCTATATCAACCCTGATACATTCACGAAATTAATGATAAAAAGAGATTAGCAATATACTCGTAAGCCAATCAGACTCACTATCTGGAATTCTCATTCTCTGTGAAATGATGTATACCTCAATTCAAAATGATTACCAGTAGCAAATGACAATTCTGTTTTAAAATAAATGGATTTGGTTATACCACGGAGTTCTTATTTTCATACTAGGTGAATTCAGAGAGACCTCTCATATCTACAATTTCCTCATATTAAAGAATATCAGCTTCCTGTAGATCTCTCCAGTTCCCAAACACTTTAAAATCTAACTCTGAAATATGAAATCCAAGGCTGAAAGTGAAAACTGAAGACACATCATTTTAAACACTCAACCTAACAATGAGTGTTTGTTGAGTAATTCAGCACATGGAATAGACCAGACTTCTGTATAGACCTGTTATGCAAACATGTACATAAACACATACATACAGGTAGGATAATATGAATAGCTTGATAGACATGGATAGATGAACTACTATCTATGGCAACATAATACAATTAGCATATATTTATTGCACCACCTAAAAAACTGCAAGCTACCTGTTGCCAATTATCTTCTGTACCCGCACAATTGTACATGAACAGTCAAGTGACACAAAAAATAAGAGGAAAAATAAATAATCATATTAAGTCATAAAATATATAGAAAGAGGAGAGATTGCAACTATGTAATGGAGTAAGTTTAAAGCAATGAAATCAGGGCTGGCCCTGTGGCTAGCTGTTAAGTGCTCCTGCTCCGCTGCTAGCAGTCCAGGTTCAGATCCCGGCACAGATGCACCCCTTGCCAGGCCAAGTTGTAGCGGCGGTCCATATAAAGTGGAGGAAGATGGGCACGGATGTTAGCCCAGGGCCAGTCTTCCTCAGCAAAAAAAAAAAAAAAAAAAAGAGGAGGACTGGCATGGATGTTAGCTCAGGGCCGATCTTCCTCACAAAAAAACCTCAAAATAAAATAAAGTAATGAAAACATTTCTACTACTAAATTCTTTGGCAACCACCTAAACAAACAGATATATGGATTAAAGTTCCCACATTTAAGAGAAAATATCAGAAATGGCTCTTATGTATGGAGTACTCACTTGTGAGTACTGTTAACAGATTTTTCCGTTCTTGTTCAGTAAGTATTCTCTCAAATTCAGTTCAAGAATTAGGTATTCACCTTCTGGTAGCAGCAAACTTCAGAGGTCTCCACAGATCAGCCAACTCCAAGCACAATGGTTCTGGAGAAGAATGAACTTGGCTCTTTGCATGATGTTTTATAGATTCTCAACACCACACCCATTTCCTCAAAGGGATTAGGTTATCATACCTTTGAAAAGGTATTGGCGCTCTTGATTAGATTTTTGCAGAGTGGAAAACACACCCTGATGCCAATGATTGAATTGAAACCTTTTTAAATCTACTTAATCAAATGGCCAATTCTAATCTCTAGGAAGAAGTCATGTCGTGAGTTAACCTATGTAATCCATAGATTTGCTGTTTTTAAGATAAATGAACCCCTCAAATGAACTTCATATCTTCTTTTAAGAAACTGTTTTAATCCTAGTTGTATCAACCCATTACTACCCACTATCTTTGGTTATCTGTCGGAATCTACATGCATTCCTTTCTTGATTCTTCTTCAGAAAGAGAAGTCATCCACATTCCATTTATTAACCCAGCGCAGTCAAGCTCTTGTCCCATAATGCCACTTACTGCTCTGGCAGAGATAGCCTTCTACTCTTTTATGGATGTTGACAATGTCATCTCAACTAAAATTCTCTGAAATTTTACACTTTTCATTGAGTCCTCCACGAAGCTCTTCCCTCTCAGTTTTTTTTTTCCTCTGTTCTTTTAGGTAACACACTACTGCTTTTATCTTTTGATCTAAAACTGTACACACAATAACTTTTGCTGGTTATTCTCTAAGGCTCTGCCCCTTTTCTTATTACCCTGCATATTCTTTCATACTCTCTCATGTTATTATTCAATACATATGCCTAATTGAAAGATTTATGATATTTTGTGGATTTAATGATCACAAATTATGTGTATACTATATGAATGACTACTAAAAGGAATCATAGACATTTTTGTGAGGGAGATATTATATTTTATGTTAAGGTTAGGGCAACTATCAAAGTTTTCTTTATCTTGGCTGGGTTTGCATCCTATTCACTCTCTTAAAAACATTTTCATATTTAGTCAATGATGGATCATGGTGCTTCACCCAAAGAAGGATACTAGAAAGGAATATTTAAAACAGTCTATTTCCACTACATCAAATGATCAGTCGTAACAAATCTCTTCTCATATAAAGCCATGGCTAAAAAAGTGAAATATATTCTTAACATTTCAAAATTTTAATCTTTAATATCATCTTCTCTTGGAAATTACACATTGAAAAAAAAACAAGATTATCCTTGACATCTCTTTATTATCTTATAAGCCTCTACACATACAATAATATATTTAAAATTTCTACTTAGATGTGAGTTTCTAGAGGAAAAGATCACATATTAACAACGTTTGCAAGTCTATTGCCTAAAATATCCTCAGGTCCATAGTGGAATGTGAAACTCTGTTTATTGCCCTCCTCCAAAAAAACTCATTTTGAGAAATAGCCTGATAGAAGGGACTACTGACCTCGCAGCACAGTTTCACTTGACCACTCCCAGGGCTT